GGGAGGCCGCGGCCCGCCCGCCACGGGATCGGCCACAGGCCGGCTTGGGCTAGAGACCTCCGGGCGTTTCTTCTGGGCGAGCTTCGGGGGCGCGGTGGGTGCAGCCACACAGCGGAAGCAGTGTCTGCTCACGGGAACAGGTTGCCCAGAGAAGCTGTGGCTGCCCCATCCCTGGAGGGGTTCAAGGCCAGGCTGGATGGGGCTTGGAGCAACCTGGTCTGGTGGGAGGTGTCCCTGCCCAGGGCAGGGGGGTTGGAACTCCATGATCTTTGAGGTCCCTTCCAACTCTAAATCATGATTCAGAGGGCTAGAGCACCTTTCCTATGAAGACAGGCTGAGAGAGCTGGGGTTATTCAGCCTGGAGAAGAGAAGATTCTGGGGAGACCTCAGAGCAGCCTTCCAGTACCTAAAGTGGTCCTACAGGAGAGCTAGGGAGGGGCTCTTTGTCAGGGAGTGCAGTGACAGGACAAGGGGTAACGTTTTTAAATTGGAAGAGGGGAGATTTAGATGAGATACCAGAAAGAAATTCTTTCCTGTGAGGGTGGTGAGAGCCTGGAACAGGTTGCCCAGGGAAGTTGTGGATGCCCCATCCCTGGAGGGGTTCAAGACCAGGCTGGATGGGGCTTGGAGCAACCTGGTCTGGTGGGAGGTGTCCCTGCCCAGGGCAGGGGGGTTGGAACTTGATCATCTTTAAGGTCCCTTCCAACTCTGACCATTCTGTGATTCTATGATTCTTTGTGCAGAACAAAACCTACTGCGTGTTTTTAAGGATTTCCAAGAATTATCAAAGCCAATAGGCTCTTTCTCAGATTTCCACGAGCTGGTCAGGCGATGGATAGAGCCTGGAATAAGTGAGGCTCATAGCACGAGATGACCCTTTGTCTGTAAATGAGCAATTAGAAGGCTGAGCTGTGAGTAGCAAGTGACCGAGATCTTGCTCAGGGAGGTCAGCCAGGACAGCGGCAAACGCTAAACTTCACAGGCTTTTAATATCTCGTGGATTTTGAACTCACAGGAACCTCACTGAGCAGGACAAAAATAGGCTCAGCAAACTAGATAACCTGATGGAGAAAGGCTGCTTTCCTGAGGGCGGTAGGGAAAGGTGGGGAGGGGAACACACACCAATTTATTGGAAATATCCAGAGACAGGGACCGGCACGCATCTCTGTGTTCTTCTGATGCCAGACCGACAGCTTCCTTTTGCATTTTAATTGGGAACCAGACTGAAGCAAACTGGGGAAAAAAAATAAACAAAATAGGGGTGATCGTACAAGGCTTTTTAGAGCCTAGGTTATGATGTAGGTTCATAAATGAGGCCCAAACAAATTGAAAACACACCTCCCTCCCCACAAGAGAGATTTTTCATTTGCTTCCCGTTTTCTCCCATCATGTGCCTGTGAATCACCTCCACAGCCAGAAGCACCTTGGACACACACCAGCGAGCCTCTGAGGCATTTATAAGGTGAAAGCTAACAACAGCTGCGTTAAAGAAAAAAAAAAATTGGAAAAAAATAAAAATTCAACCATCCTCACTTCACGGCATCATGGAATTGTCAGAGTTGGAAGGGACCTCTAGAGATCATCCAGTCCAACTCCCCGGCCAAAGCAGGGTTGCCCAGAGCACATCACTCAGGAGCATCCAGGTGGGGCTTGAAGATCTCCAGAGAAGGGGACTCCACACCCTCCCTGGGCAGCCTCTGCCAGGGCTCTGCCACCCTCACCCCAAAGAAGTTCTTCCTCAGATTGGAGTGGAACTTCCCATGGTCCAGCTTGTGCCCGTTGCCCCTCGTCCTGTCACTGGGAACCACTGAAAAGAGTCCGGCTCCATCCTCCTTCAACCCACCCTTTAGGTACTTGTCAGCATTCATAAGGTCTCCCCTCAGCCTTCTCTTCTCCAGGCTCAAGAGCCCCAGCTCTCTCAGCCTTTCCTCATCAGGGAGATGCTCCAATCCCTCCATCACCTTAGTTGCCCTACGCTGGACTCTCTCCAGCAGTTCCCTGTCCCTCTTGAACTGGGGAGCCCAGAACTGGACGCAGGATTCCAGTTGTGGCCTCCCCAGTGCAGAGCAGAGGGGGAGAGTGACCTCCCTCCACTTCCTGGCCACACTCTTCCCTACGCAGCCCAGGATCCCACTGGCCCTCTTGGCCACAAGGGCCCATTGCAGGCTCATGGATAGGTTACTGTCCACCAGGACCCCCAGATCCTTCTCCTCAGAAGCGCACTTCGACCTGGAAACCCTTCCCGAGCCCCTCACCCGTCCCGGGAACTCCCACGGGGCGGGCGGGCGCTGCCCGGGGGGTTCAAATCCGCCGGGGGAGGCGGTGGGGCCGCCTCAGGCTCCCGGCGCAGGTGGGTGGCGGGGCCCAGCCGGGCCCGGCCCGGGAGGCGGCGCTGAGGCGGCGGGCGGGTCCCGCTGAGCCGTTTCCCGGGACCCGCCCGGCCCCAGCCCCTCCTACTCTGCTTTCAGCCTCGTCTTCCCCTTCCCTCCCCAGCGCCATGCCGCTCTTTGCCCGCGCCGCAGTGCTTTTGGGGCTGCTGGGGGTCCTGCGCCATGGCGGCGCCTCAGGTGAGTGCGGCGCGGGCCGGGGCGCGCGGGGGCCGGGGGCCGTGGGCCGTGGCCGCCATTAGGGAGCGTGTGGCCGGGCCGAGGGAGCCCGGCTTGTAGCGGGGGCGAGGGGGCTTGTCGCCGGGTGGGTGTCAGCAGGACGGAGGGGAGAGGGCTTGCTGCCAGGGAGGGCCTGTAGAGCCGTTTTGTGGGGGGTGAGGGGGGGGCGGCCCGGTGGGTTGATCAGGAGCGAAGATCAAAGCGGCGCCGCAGCTTCTGCAGAGGAGTTAGATATTGGTGGTTATCTTAATCTTTGATGTGGACGGGGAGAACCCGTTACCCCCTCCTTTTTCTCCTCCATTCCCTCCCCCCCCATTTTTTTTTTACGGCTTCATTTCTATCACTTAAAATGAGTGCGGTGTGTCTCCGTGAGAGTTAAACCCTGCCGTGGCAGAGGTGTGTTACAGGCTGGTGAGTCTGGGGTAGGGTTGTGTTCCTTCTGAGGAAACAAGGGGGTGTTTGCTGCCAGTGAGTTTGAGGAATGGAACAGGGTTAATAGCAGGATTTATATTTTTTTTTGACCACATAAAGGTAGTCCTGGGTTCCCAGCAATCCGTGAATTGTGGCTTGAAAACCACTGTCCCTATAAAACTAGAGAAAACGAGTGAAACCCCTTAGAACTTGGTTCCTAAAATTACTTGTTGGCCATGCTGATGTAATCTGACTTTATTTATGTAATCTGACTTTATTTGGCATGGTCTTTTTTTGTAATTCCCCCGTGTTCCTGCATGTGACTAGAATAGGTGTTCAGAAGTAGGTGTGCTATAATGACTATACCTTGTGAAGATTTAACAGTTGCTTACTTTTTTTCTGGTTAAACTCTTATCTGTTCAAATCAAGAAAAAAAGAAACGATTTCCTTTCAGATAAGAGCAAGCAGCCTGTTATGTTAGGCTGATATAAATCTCTTCTTAGTTTTTCTCTATTTTTAAAATTGCCTCTAATGAAGCTAAATTGTCCAAAAGGGGAAACTTATTCTTGGGACACTTTGCAAGGCTGCAGGACAGCGTTTGGATTCAGTCTGAAGTGTGGAAGGTTTCTTCCACCTCTCCACCCAATATCCCCAGTCTCATGCCCAACATCTTACTGGAGAGCCAAGTGTTCCCTGCTTCTTGCAGGCTCTAGAAGCTTAGGCTTGGCACCCGGTGGTGGCAAGCAGGTCTGAGAATGAAGACTCAATGTTCTTAGATCTTAATGCTTATATTAAAAGATGCCAACAAGCAGTTTGTTTCCCTGACTTGATTGAAAATGTGTCATCTGTTGAGTCATCTATTTTTTAATTTTTTTTTACAGTATGTAAAAAGGCAGAATGAATTTGGGATTAAGCTAACTGCTCTGTCTTGAAGGAGCCTGTTCTGTATTTCCTTGGAGCCCTGAGGGTGGAGGGGGAAAGTATTTTCCTTGTGAAAAGCTAGTAAGCTGTGTAATTTGTGTACCAGTGTCTAGCTGATCATTAGGCCCTTTAAACAAGGACACTTGCTTAATGGTTCACTTATTTGAAATTTTTTTTGTGGTTATGCAGCCTTGGACTCCAAGATTTGCAGGGAGGGGATTGTTACCTTCCAGGGAGTTCCACCTTCTTGAAGCAGGAGTGCAACTGACCTTGTGTGCTACATCCAAACCAGGTCGTTTAGTTTTGGAAAAACTAAAGTGAGTTTATAGCGCAATCACGATTGAGCAGTGCCCTTTTCTTAAAGGGAGCTTATCTGGATGAGCTTAGTTTGTGCTAGCTGTTTGGTCTATGCAGAGACAACATTTTAAAATAAGAGGCGTGAATCTATTGGGCAGTTGGTCACTTGCATCTTGAAGTGCTACGGCCCAGATGCTCAAATGACACCTTAACAGTGCCAGCAATGTGACTGAGACCACTGACTGAGCCAGGCTGTGTGTTCTGGCTGTTAATTGAAGTATATTAGCATGACGATAAGCAGGTGAGACGGGTACTTCTTCCCCCACTTTTCAGGATGCAGAAGACCTCATGACCTCTAAATTGGTGAACAGGGTGAGACGGGTACTTCTTCTGCATCCTGAAAAGTGAGGGAAGACCTCATGACCTCTAAATTGGTGAACAGAATGGTCTTCTGGGATGGGAGTGGTACAGTTGGTGACACTACAATCTGCGGCACTATTTGCTTTAAGCATCAAACTTGAAGCATGAGTCTCAGTACACATGCAATTAAAAGTTTACAAGCTTTCATAGGTTGTCTTGCTTCTTTGGGGAGTGGAGTGGATGGTGTCTTTACTTTGGGGTTTACTTTGGGCTCTGCTATGCATCCGTGTGTGCACAGCCTTACAGATCTGATATAGTATAGCTCCTGGCGTTACTCTGTTAACCAACTGCACACCCAGTTTTCCCCACTCTTAACTAGCTTTCAGGCTGAGCTTGCTTTTCATCTCTATTAAATGTGTTCATATGACTACTTGTCATACTCCCTGCACTGGAAGGTTCTTCTTAAGTCTTAAAACTTACATAAGGTTATTCTGCATAGCCACTGTAATCGGTTGGCACAGAGTAGAAATGCATTTTCTCTGGTTGTGGAGAACCTCTTTGTCTGAGACAAACCTACTCTTTGAATACAGCTCTGCAGGTAAAGACTGTTCCTGCGTGGGCAGTAATGGCATTTCTTCAGTTGTGTTTCTTAAGAGAAATTGGATTGCTAGATGTCACCAAGAACCTTGTATGGTTAGCTGTTTATTGCTGATGGGCGATGACACTTGTCTACTGAAGCCAGAAATGTGGTTAACTTAAAGCATCAAACGAACAGGGAGCTTAGCACTGAATCAGCAAAATGGAAGTGGTTCAAGCTGGCTGTTGCTTTTTGGGAAAACTGGATGTCACAGTGAAGGGATAATAAATGCTGAGCCTCTGTAGAGTTGACTACCTTGTTTCTTAAAGTTAAGAATAAGGACCTTTCATCCCAGGAGAGCTCCGAGACATTCAGTTCCTTTCATCTTTACTGCTTTTGCCCTTCATGTGGGAAAAAGATGCAGTGTGGGGTGACAGAATGGGCTGTTGTTCAGCTCTCTTCATCAGTTCTCTTTCACATGCTGGAACATCTGGGCTCCTGTTCCAGCATTGTCAGTGCTAGCATACCAACTAATACATACATGCTCAGTACTCCATCTTTGTGCTGTTCTTGCTCAGTTTCAATAATGCTGACTTGCTCAGTACTCCATCTTCGTGCTGTTCTTGCTCAGTTTCAATAATGCTGACTTCCTTTAATGATGTTTTCATTTGATAAACTCTGTAATAGTGAGGGTTCCTCTCTCGTATCTAACCCCAAATGACTCTGACATGCAGTGACTATTATACTTCTCTCTACAAGGCAAAGAAGAGAGGGGGTAGCCTGGCATCTTGCAAAGTATTTCCAGACCTCCACTGTTTGAAGCAAGTGAAGCAATTAAAAAAAGGCTTGGGAAGCCTACATTTTGTTCCTGGTTCTGTTGCTGACTGGGTTCAAGGAGGCTGTGAACAACAAGCTGAAAATACTTGTCTGGTGGATGTAGCTGTCCTCGTTCTTCACCCTGAATCGTTGCTCTTCTGTCCAGACTTTGGTTTAAAATGTATGTCACATGCACTGTTCTAGGAGCAATTATGCAAACAGTAAAGCTATGTAGAACACTATGCCTTCATTTACCACAGAAATTAAAATTGAGAGTCTCATGATCACGTTGAAGTAGTGGCTGCATATCTTGCTGACGAATCTGTTCTTGTTTATGCAGAGGCCTCTGGGTACGAGTACAGAGTGGAGGTGAGAAAGAAGAAAAAGCAATGCAGTTGTGGTTTTTTTTCCTTGATGTAGAGCATAGAGAGGATATATATGGTTTCAACTTCTTTCTTAAAAGAACATCCGAGCGTGAGCATCTCAAAGTTCAGGAAATTGTTCTGAAATTGTTCTTAAAGATCAAAGAAAAATATTTTTTTCTGCATTCTAAGCTTTCACTCCAAATTTCTAAGTGCGTAGATGCATAGTCTGTGCCTTTTGAATGCTCTTTTTTTAGCATTGGTACTGGTAGTTGCATTTCTGGTAGAACTAAAGAGCTAAGGAAGAAAGAGGTCTTGTGAAGGGGAGGATACCTGAATGCTGCTTGAGGGATTCTACCAGAGACTGAAGAACACAAAGCTTTTTTTATAGCTCTGATTTTACATTAATTACTGTTTGAAAACTTGAGGTAGAAACTCTTTCTAGCTTAGTATAAACTGCAGGTGATGGAACAGAAAAATGGAGAATCTTTTTTTTTTTTTTTTTTTTTTTTCCTCCAAATCTTCAATACTTTCTTGCAAAGCTCCCAAAGTGCAGGAAAAAAAAAATAAATCAAATGTTGAGTGTGATATCTATATTAGCTCTATTTTAATTTTTGTTTTTTGAGAGAGAGTTTATTTCATTTCTTGTTGCATACTATCTGACTGGTTTGATTATATTATGGATATGGTTTTATTAAGTGATTCTCAATAAACCCAGAAGTAGAATTATTTACGCATATCAATTTTGCATAAAATTCCAGTTATCCCATAGATGATATTTTATGCTTAAGAACTGAAAATCACGTTGACAACAACTTCCTTGGTCTGTGGGCATTCAGTGTGAAGTCGAGTGTGCCTGTGGAGGGAGAAGGGATTTTCCACACATGGAAATCCATGCAGCATGTCGATACGGAAAAGGCTTCCACGCCATCTTCTGCTTCTGATTTTTTTTTTTTTTTTTTTTTTTTTTCCCCCCTCCTAGATTTCAGCTGGGGTTTTATTGTTGACACAGTACTGGTATTAATCGAATTTTTGAGGTGAGCATGTAAGGGTTGAAGGTAGGAAGATGAGATGACTTTTCCTCTGCTGTGAGGTGAGTGGAGAAGGCATTGGAGTAGGAGCTCACCTCTTTTACATATCATCAAGAGGCCAAAAATGCCAATTTTTGGCAGGGGAGAGTTGAAGAATAACAGGAAAGGAGTTAGAGTACCAGATGCAGTTTTGGATAAGAAGATGATATCCCTTCCTTTTTTGGATGGGATATCACCCGAGTCATCAGCACCAGTGCATGTAGGATGGTGCTGTTGATTACTCTGTGCTTCTGTTGGAGTACTTGACATTATCAACCCTTTGCAAGAGGCAGCTTTATTGAGGAAGTACTGTGTATGTGTTCAGGCTTGGTAAGTTTTAGGTCTGCTGGGCTGCTGTGTGTGCACGCAGGGGAATTTGGGGAAAAACCTGAAAGGTGTTGTGCGTGCTCTGCAAGCATCTAGTCTACCCAACAGCACAAGAGAGCCTTGTGTCTTCTGTACAGCTGCTTCTCTTTCCTCCCTTGACATCCTCTGTCCCTTAAGAACGTGGCAGAGGGAGAAACCAGGCTTTCTTGCAGGACTTGAATGACAAGCCAAAGCCAGTTCTCAAAGATTCTCTTATATCCTAGATCATGTGCTTCTCTTTAAATTAAAATGACAGTGGATCATGGGGTTATGCTTACCATAAGAAGATTGGTCTTGATTGTGTCTTGGAAAAACTAGTCAGATTTTTAGATACAAAAATTGAGGTCCAACAGTCCTAATAATTAAGAATAGTACTTATTCCCACTAAGAATAGTGTGGGAGCAGAAAACGTATGTGAAATAGCTGAAAGTGGGTATGTACACGTATGTAAACTACAGATTTGATCTACAGATCTGTTATAGAAGTTGACTCTAACTCCCATGGTTTGGGAAGTCACCCAGGCAGCCTACCTAAGAAGGTGTTGTGCAAGTTGGCTGGCTAATACAAGCACGCTCACCTGGATTTGCCAAAGAGCAAGTAATCCTCAGTATCTTCTCTTATTTACTCTGCTGAGCGTTGCTTGCTGTTGGTTGCATTAGCTGGTGAGCTGCAGCGAGTGTCTGTTGGTGATGAGCTCAGCTGGATCAAATACTGAGCTCATGGCAGGAGGTCCTACCCCAGAGTGCTTAGGCAAGTGCCAGGCTGCACGGCTGGTTTTCTAGCTGTGTCTGTTCTTGTAGGTATAGCTCTGTGTATAGTAGTCTCTGAAACATTAATACAGCTTACAGGATGAGATTTGCATAAAACAACTCCTTGCTGTGTTCCCAGATGACTAATATTGGACTACTGGAAGCTTCCAGGCTCCCCTTGATAATTGTTTCCCTCTGCACAAAAGAAAAAAAAGTGTCTTCATTTATTTTTTTTCTCGTAATGCAGGTCTTCTTGAGCTCTCCTTGGGAAAATTCAGAAATGTGCTACTTAACCGGACCAATCCAGTGGAAGCTGTAATCAGGAACATTGCAAGCAATGTCACTGTTGTTATTTTTCAAGTACATGCCCAGCAAAGTGATGTGGTGATATCCTTTGATAAGGTATGGTAAGACTCTCACCTCTGTTCTTAAGTGCTACTTTTCTTTCAGCAAAGGAGTGGGCCCTGGTACGTATAGGAATATAGAACTGAAGGCATATAAATAATATGAATATCTTACCTGCATGGCTCTTAGTATTATTTTAGCTTCAGAAATCCTTTCTTATGCTTATTGTCATAGCTGCTAGTTTGGAGGTTGGAATGCTAAAGGAATTTCTGACCTGGCTTGAAAAGTTTCAAGGCTCCTGGTGGAAGTGGTGCTTTTAATATGTGACTGCTGACTACCATCCATCAGCTTCTAAAATTAAAAACAGATTCATAAGTCTTTGCCAGATACCTTATACACTAAACACGATCACTTTGGGATGTTTAGTTGTTTGCTGTTTATGTGGCTTGGATCTAGTCACTGCAGACATGTGTCCTTGTCACACATGATGCTTGTCCTGAATTTAATTCTACTTTGGTTGCATATGGCGAAATTCCTCCACACTACTAGTATAGGCTGCTACTTCTAGCCAACAATATAAGTTCCTACTGCTATACACTAACCTCAGCTTGTCCCATTGTTACTGGGATGCAGTCTAAAATACTGATTTTTGTGGTGCTGTGAGGCTCTAAGTAGTATTTGAGCAGAACATAGACTAAGGTGAAGATGGTGGATGGAGATCTAACAGCTGCCACCCAGTTTCTCTCTCCCTATCAGTGTTTTCCAAATGAGAACATACTGAGTGCCAAGAAGTGCTCTGGGAAGCTTTGGAGGTGAACAGCCTGTAGCACCAGTCCCTCAGCTGCTCAATCTTCTTTGTACTGGTGAAATAGCAAGGATAGCAGGGCTAAGGCATTACTATTCAGTAGTTCACTTCCCTATTCAGTCACTGATTACCAGTGGTAGAAGTTTTTGCTGTCAATTCAGACCCTCTTTGCATTCATGGGCCTTACCAGGTCAAGGACAGTGGTGCATAGATATGGCTGCACAGCTTCTAGGGCTGGCCTGCCTCTGGAAACGTGAAGCTGAGCCAGACCTTGAAGCCTGACAGGTTCAAAGTGCTTCCTTACAGTGTTGCTTTAGGTAACTGTGGTTGTCCTTGACAAAAGCACATTTTCCATGCTAAAAAATTAGATTTGACTGGAGGTCAGTTGGTTGTTCTAGCTGTGTGTGATGCTGCCACTGATGCCTGGTCTTTCCTCAAGACCCCTGGTTCTGAAAGGGATGGTGCTGGTGGGCATTGGATTAGAAGCTGATCTGTCCCAAAGGACTTGTGTGGCATGGGGGGTGTCATACAGTCACTTCCATGCTGGTGGAGATAGCGAGGTGCTTCTGCACTTTGGTCCCCAGAAAACCCTTTTCTTTGTGAGGGATATTCCAGTCATTTTATACCTTTATTAGTCACTCCATTGCTGTATATGGAGTCACTCCATATGCTGTATATGCACTAGACTTCAACTAGCTAGTTTTCTTTTCAATTTGCATGTTAGTATTAAATCTTTAGTAGTCTCAAAGTCATCACTTGGATTTTTGAGCCTGAACTAGGCAGCGTGTGGTGTGAGAGGCCACTTCTTTTTGTGCCCCTCTGAGCACTAGCAAAGGGCTGAATGCCTCATCTGTGGCAAGTGGAACTGAAATGTGTGCCCTAACAGGTTTGTGGCAGGAATATGACTCCTGGGGCAATACCTCAAGCTGTGGTGGAAATCTTCAAAAGAACTGCTTGCTTGTATTTGTTTCTGTCCAGAATCCGTCTGCGAACAGCTCAGGAACCGGAGTAGACAAAGGCCTGGTTTCCATCCTTCGGCCTCAACAGACTGTGTGTACGTGGTACCTGCAGTCACTGCGTGCTAGCCAGGTGCTCAGCACAGCTATCTCCATCCCATACATGGAGAAAGGTAGGTTCTTATTACTCGTTAAGGGGATCCAGATCTGCTTTTTACAAGTCAACTATGAAATGAAGGGTTGAACTTCCAGAGGTGATGTTCTTAAATGGTGCAAGCGTGATGGAGATGCCAGAAATTCTTTTGTAACGTGATGAAAAAGTTTTGTATCGCTGTTGATTTGCAAGTCGTGTATAGTATGTATGTAAGTAGTATGTAAGACAGTATGGTCTTGTTATGACTTCAGCCTTAGAGAGGAAAACTGCTGTGATATGTATCAGGACCTATCTTAGACTGCAGCGAAACCACTTGTGTTGTTTGCAGGACTAGAACCCGACAATTTCATGTGCTCAGCGAGCAGACTCTGCCTGCTGGGGTCTTCCAACTCTTTTCATGCTGTGTAAGGGGAAAGTAAAAACTACTACAGTTATCTTTTCTTTGTTCTAGATCCTATTCCTGGAGGCTGCAATCTAGAATTTGACTTGGAAGTGGATCCAAATATTTACCTAGACTATACGGTGGTTGATATACAGCTCAAATTTGCCCCTGCAAACTTAGGATATACCAGGTGTGTGCAAAAACTTTAGAGCACTGAGCAGGACCTCCTTTGTTTTGTATTTGGCCACAGTCATAAAAAAGATTCTGCTGGAAAGACTGACCATCCATCTGCTCCAGAAATCTTGTTTGCTGCAATGAGCTAAGAAGTAATTCAGGGAAAGGAGGGAGAGAGGTAACACAAAGAGAGATAAAGGCTGAGAGTTACATCTTGTGGGAGAGGTTATGCAGCTTCAGATGCACAGTCAGCAAATAATGGATCTTCCCATTCCTCATAACGACTTAATCTCTTTGAGGAGCAGTTGTGTGTTATAGCCAGTTTTATTCTTTCACTGGTACTGAAGCATGCCAGTGACCTAGAACTGTGTTCAATATTGACACTTTAAGTTATGAAGCATTATTTCCTGAATGGTGCTTGATGTCAGAGGTGACAGGCAGGGAATGGGAAGCCTGTGGTCAGAGCTGTATGTGTGGCATCATGGAAAACCAAACAGTGATGCTGTGATCTTTGGCTGTTGTGACCTCCTGGAATTCTCGTGCTGGTTCCCTGGGCAACTCGTAGAAAGCCTCTGTAAAGGTAAAGGCAGGTGCCAGCACAGGGTACTGCCTGCATCAGAGTAGTTAATGCATAATACTGCTGCAGTCTGTGCTCACAAACAGTTACAGTCTGGTTTGGAATTAGTTGCTGGTGCTGACTTCTAAAGAGTAGGAGTGAAATACTGCCAACTCATAGAGGTAACTTTTGAACATTAATGTTAAGATCTGTGGGCTTGTTCTGGGCACATAGCTGAATTTTCACTGAATTTCACTGAATTTTTAGAGTTGGAAGGGACCATAGAGATCATCTAGTCCAACTCCCCTGCTGAAGCAGGATTGCCTAGAGCTTGTCAGAGCATGTTACTCAGGAGCATCCAGGTGGGCCTAGAAAATCTCCAAGGAAGGGGACTCCACACCCTCCCTGGGCAGCCTGTTCCAGGGCTCTGCCACCCTCACCGTGAAGAAGTTTCTCCTCATATTTGAGTGGAACCTCTTCTGTTCCAACTTGTGCCCGTTGCCCCTCGTCCTCTCACTGGGAACCACTGAGAAGAGTCTGGCTCCCTCCTCCTTCAACCCTCCCTTGAGATACTTGTCAGCATTGATAAGGTCTCCCCTCAGCCTTCTCTTCTCCAGACTAAAGAGTCCCAGCTCTCTCAGTCTCTCCTCATCAGGGAGATGCTCCAATCCTTGAATCATCTTTGTTGCCCTTCGCTGGACTCTTTCAGTAGTTCCCTGTCCCTCTTGAACTGGGGAGCCCAGAACTGGACACAGTACTCCAGTTGTGGCCTCACCAGTGCAGAGTAGAGGGGGAGAATGACTTCCCTTGACCTGCTGGCCACACTCTTCCCTATGCTGATCTCTTTTTTTTTTTAATTGTAGAGGAGCAAACCCACCATCCTGCGATTCAGGGGCTGGTCAGAACTCCAGATGGCGACTGCGCTACGATGTCTACCAGTACTTCTTACCAGAGAATGACCTTTCTGAGATGGTGCTCATGAGCCACCTACGGAAGATGTCCGAGGTGCAAAGTATCAAAGCCAATGGCATTAAAGTAAGTCTGAAGCACTGGTGGCATGTGGCAGTGGCACTAATTTAAGCTTTCTCCTCCCCTGTGCTTATCTTCCTTGAGTGATAACACAGAAGCCTGAAGCATCAGCAGCTTGCATGACTTGTCTGGGATTTGTGTCTAGGAAGTATACAAAGTAAGTGATGCATGCAAAATGGCAACCACTTGGAACAGAACCAATCTTGGAACAGAGGTGACTAATTAGCACAGCCTGAAATGTGGCAGAATTGAGGCTTTTTGCAGTGGTCTCTGATATTAGGTAAATGTTAGTGACTGCGTGTGAGATGTTTCCGTGTCTTGCACGCTTTTCTGAATCAAACAAGCTCATAGTGCGGTGTGTTCCCGCTTGCTGATGACTACTTCAGCCACAATGTTCCTTTGGTTATGTTGAGGCCAGCTTGCTATAGCAATCCTGCCACCCAGTACCTGTAAATCCAGAAGTGGAGCCACTTTAGACAAAGGTAGATACGGTTGTCTGCAGTACCTTATAGATGCTGAGGATTGAGCTGCTGAGCATGTGTATATGAACACATCAATACGCCAACAGCGGCAAGAAGTTCCTTGCAATTAAACTATTTGTTACTGTTTCAGATGCTTACGTTGACAACTGACGACAAGACCAATGTCTACTTTTCTGCCCTTCCTGGCCAAGGGGTGATCTACAACGTCATAGTATGGGACCCTCTTTGGAACACTTCAGCTGCGTACGTACCGGTGCATACGTACGCCTGCAGCTTTGCTGACCTAGTGGATAACTGCTCTTCTCTCAGTAAGTTGGGACTTGGGTGTCCTTGCCAACTGATTTGAAGCTTGTTATGCTCCAACAGGAGATAGTCACTTCAAAGAGGCATGAAGATAATGCCAGCAGTAGGGAAATGACTACAAAGTCATGCTGCTTTCTATGAAGCTGTAAGAGTTTGAGCAGAGGAAGAGCAAAGCTACCACTCCCATTATGACTGCAGAAGGGGCAGTAATGGGTAGAAAATGGTTCATGAAATAAAATTTGTTCTCATGATTATTTTCTTATCATATACTGTAACACAAGTAACTGTTGTCAAACTCAGTGTTGTCTTATGACAACGTAAGAACAAATTATCTAGGCTAAGTCCCAGAATCTTAGTGGTTGGAAGGGACCTCTGAGATCATTGAGTCCAACCACAAAAAAAAACAAAAAAAACAAAAAACCACACCAAACAAATACAAAACACACCACAGCAAACGCCAACCAAAAACACCGCACCCACCAACTAAACCCCACACTCAACACCTCACCATAAACCAATAACCTTGGGCACTAGAGCATGCCCTGAAGAGCCATGTCTATACTTTTCTTAAATACCTCCAGGGATGGTGACTCCACCACCTCCCTGGGCAAGTAGGCAAATGTGGTTTACTTATTTCAGAGAGCTTAAATTCCTGTAAGAATTTTGCCTAGGAGGTAGAGGTGAGCCATACTGGGATGCTGCTGGTCCTTTCTGTTGCGCAGAGGGTATTAAAGAGAGACTGTGGTGAAGGCTGCAGTGATGAAGACTGTAGCTGCTGCCTGGGTTGCTAATCCCATAGCACTGATTTTTATAGGTGATTGATGTCCCTCTTTAAAAAGCTGAGCAGGGAATTTTCAGGTAAGGCTGTGTCAGTATTATAAACGGCAAGTTACAGCTACTTAATTACTGTTACAGAAACTTCAGCTTTTTGAATAAGGAGGAAACTCTTAATTTCTTTATCAGACTGGAACTACTTCAGTATTAAATTGGAGATCCTACCAAGATAACTGTCAGTTCAGGCATCGTGGGTGGGCTCCCATGGTGTGTCTGAGGAGTGGCAGCTATTAAGCTGTCAGTAGAGTCTTGGCAGCAACCTGGCCATGCTCATTGTTGGTTCTACTAGGTGGCATGCTCTACTAACCCTTTCTTTCTCCTTGTAGGCAAACTCTCTACCAAAGTATTCTTCACAGCTCTTGCTATTCTTGGTCTCTTCACTTGCTTTTTTGGACACAGATTCTGGAAAACAGGTACTGAATGTTGCGGTGGTTTTTTTTTTTTCCTCATAAATCTGCTTGGAGTTTCATAGGTGTAACTTGCTGTAACGTAGAATGATGGTGTTATTACTAAGATTAATTTGGTAGTGATTACGTGCCAGTTGGGTCCACTGCTTTGCCTCTGCAGGATCAGATCTTCAAGTGCAGAGCAAGAAGTTTCTGGTATACAAAGAACAGAAATGTAGAGCCAGGGTGCGTGCTGGGCAATATAAATTTCTGACTATTTGAAGTGCTTCTCCAGGACAAAGTGTTGCCTGGCTCTCCTCGTGTACATTTCTGACTCTTTGAAGTGCTTGAGGACACCCCTCTCCAGGACAAAGTGTTGCCTGGCTCTCCTTTTGTGCTTCTCAGCCAGTGAGTTGAGATGTTTCTTCCCTGTTGTAACATGAAGATGTCCAAAAATGTGCTGAGGTGGGCTTGGTATGAAGTGATGTGACCAGCATGCATACTAGATATCCTTTTTCTTTTCTTCTCTAGACTTACTCTTCATGGGCTTCATATTTGCAGGATTCTTCTTCTTTGTATTCATCACAAGGGTAACTGGCCTTGGTTATGATGGTGAGTAGATGTGTTGGGTTACCCCACGCTCCTACCAAAGTATCGTCGTTACGAATCCCTTAATTAAAATCTCAGTTGTGCTGGTTGTTGGGCAGCCTTAGAGCTCTCATTACCGTAGTAGCAGAGTACACAACAGGGTAGTTGTTGCTTCCAACGTGAAATAGTGATGCAGAATTAATAGCTTTGACTATAAAAGAAACCTAAGTATCTATCCAAGGAAGATATGGGCTTTTAAAACTCTGGAAATTTGCAACATAATTCTTTTCTAATGGATGGATCTCGGTTTCGGGTCAAATGCAAATTTTATCTGTAAAATGGAGTGGAATGTCTGCCTCCTGCTCGTTAGGCTCGCAAGAATAAGTTCCCTTTGCCTTTATCCTACCTCCTAGTTACCCAGAGCACGTGTATCATGAAAGTGACTGCCCTGGGGACTCAAGGGACTCATGTATATAGCAGCAAGACTGTCATTCCACTCCTTCAGCGTAGCCTCAGTTGCAGACTGAAGTCTAAGTGAAATGCATAAAGCAAACATTGATACTCTTGTTTGGCTTTTTTTCAGAAAGTTTTCATTAGGTAACAAAATCGGGCATGTAAGTGAAGCTGCTGAATACATTATTGCAGGAACTGAAGTTTTCAGAGAATTGGAATTTCCCCTTTTCTTTTGCAGTGCGTCTTATTTTGACAGCAGTAGCTGGAATTCTTGGAGGGCTCTTCCTGGTTGCAACCTGGTGGAGATTTGGCTCTGTCCTACTCTCCATGTTTATTATTGGACTCGTGCTGGGATTTCTCTTTTCATCTACGGTCTTCTTTACTCCACTAGGTACGCACTGAAACCCTTTGCTATTGAGTGCTGAGTTCCTGCTGTATTACAGGGACGCTGCAAGGCTCTGGGATGAATGCCACTCTCTGGTTTATTTTAGTCTTATATTTAACTTTCCCTTTCCAGTGTTGGGAGGAACAGAGATGTATCTGAAGCCTTCTTTCAGCTGTGCTGTAATTAAAACTACTTAGGGAATCGGTGCTCGGGGGGGGAAAGGAAACTGCTTATTCTGCAGAGAACTGGCTGAGGCTCTTCTTACCTAAGCTGTGTGCTGTCTCAGCAGTCTGTGACACAGCTCTGCTCCAGCAGAGCACTTGCTGTCTGTCTTCTTCTCTAACCAGAAGAAGTTACAGTAGAAAACTTGTGGTCTAACCTGGAGTTTTCAGGTGTTAAGTCATTGTGGATTAAGAGGAGCTCTTGCCGTTACCTTTCACTGTTCTACAGTGCAAGGCTCTGGGAGCACTGCACTGTAAAAGTCAAACTTGTATTTGCAGCTGGGTTGACGTCATCAGGGTCTTCAGAATGACTTTGTTATGAGAGAAACAACTGACAAACTTCTTAAAAGCAAGCAATGCTGCAGAGCTGGAATCCCTCTGGGACACTGGAGCTTCAGCCACGCTGCTTTCTCTATTGCAGTCGTAAATCTCAAAACTCTTCTACTTATGATCCCTTGGTGGGGCAATATTCCATTCTACAGTCATCTGTGTTTGACTCAAGCCACAATTTTCTGATAATCTGTGCAGCCACTTGTTGTTCTTCATTCAAGTGAAACAGTGACTCAGCTAGGGGTCAGCTTGTCCCCTTTGTTTAATTGCTAGACCTTAGAAAGCCGGGGAGCAAAGTAGTGTTTGTGCCACTTCGTTACTCTTCCTAAAGCCAGAAGAGTTGGTTTGCCTTGTGTGTTGTGTGATGGCTGCAAGATTTAATTTAGAAAGCCGGGGAGCAAAGTAGTGTTTGTGCCACTTCGTTACTCTTCCTAAAGCCAGAAGAGTTGGTTTGCCTTGTGTGTTGTGTGATGGCTGCAATTGCCACTACACTCTAGTTTCAAACTTGCATAGATGCAGGTTTACAGATTATAAACCTATCTTGGCAATAGAATGGCTTCTCATTGGACAGAAGTACTCTGGTACTTCTTATCAAAGAAGTAACGTATGCCTCATCAAAAGTCTCGTTTCATGGAAAAGATCTGTTCTTCCAATTTAGAGTACAGGACCTATACTCAACTGGAACAGTCTTTTTCTATTAGTGTTTTGAGTAACTGTGTTACAATGCATCTTAAAGAATCAGCATTTGAGCTCAAAAGCGAAGCTTTTCAACGCTCACGAGTTCTGAATGCACACAATGTTTGGGGAAAAAGCTTGTCCCTAGCCACTTAGGAAAAAGGATATATATTGCTAACTAGTAAATTACTTGTGGAATTATGGTGTCTTTGCAGGAGACTACAGGGTCTTTCGTGATGATGTTGTGTTCTGGGTGACCTTTTCTTCTGTAGCCTTGATGATTCCAGTGCTTTTTGTTGGCTGTCCAAGAATTGTAAGTAATCCACGGTGTCACCTCAGGAGGAGGGGGGAAGGGGTCTCAGACTTCTTAATGCAAAATGTGGTTCTGTGGGATATGTATAGGAGACTTAACACAGCTTCATGAAGCTTAGGGCAGGACCAGCTGTAGGGAATTCCTCTTCAGCCCTACTTGTGCTAAGTGGTCCATGAGCAAAGGAAGATTCTTTGCAACGTTGCACGTAGCATCCACAAACACTTGAATTTAGTTGACTTCTGCTGTCTTAAGATGCCTGAACAATAGGTGTGTGCAGCCAGAGCTGCTACAGAATACTGCCTTAAGAAGGGGAGGAATAAAGAGCTTTTCAGTCTCCTAAGGCTGTGGGTTTTTCCTCCCCCTTTAGCTGAACATACTGGCCTCTGGAATAGTGGGCTCCTATGCAGTGGTCCTAGCTATTGCTTGTTACGTCTACACAAGTCTTGCTTACATCACCTTAAACCTACTCAGAAGGATCCTCAATGATTACTTCAGCAGAGCTTACACCAACGTACCATTTCAAAGAAATGGTGAGTACTTCTCTTACAACTTCTTTACTACTTTTTTTTTTAAAAAAATCTGCTGCCTCTTTGGTTCCATTGGAGACGGTAAGTGTTGGGTGTAGGAAGAGATGAAAGAACACAGTAAGTACAGTGTGAGATTCAACACCCAGATGATAAATTCTTGTCCTCCAAAAGAAATACTGAGTAGACACAAAGGCACCAACCTTCCAGCAGGTGTTATGTGACAAAGGCCCTTGTGAAAGGTGCTTCTTAGGCTTGGGGTGCCACCTTTGCTGAAGAGTTTGTGGAGTGGGTAGTCAAAAGGTCTAGTACGGTGACTGAACAGACTCATCTGAGCTCCCTGTGTATTTTTGCCTTTGCATGGATGTATTTGAGGCACGTGAGGGTCCAGAGACAATACTTCATTCCTTTCTGTCACGAAACTTGTTCAGTGTTTGTGCTTGGGAAAGGAAAGAATGTTCTGCTTTGATCATAGAATCATAGAATCATTGAGGTTGGAAGAGACCCTTGGGATCATCGAGTCCAACCATCTCCCCTACTCTACAAAGTCCTCCCCTACACCATGTCCCTCAGCACTGCATCTAAATGGCCCTTAAACACAGCCAGGGATGGGGACTCCCCCCCCTCCCTGGGCAGCCTGTTCCAATGCCCGACCACTCTTTCAGTGAAAAATTCCTTCCTAATGTTCAATCTAAACCTCCCCTGTTGGAGCTTGAAGCCGTTCCCTCTCGTTCTGTCACTAATTACCTGTGAGAAGAGACCAGCACCAACCTCTCTACAGTGTCCTTTCAAGTAGTTGTAGAGAGTGATGAGGTCTCCCCTCAGCCTCCTCTTCCTCATACTGAACACCCCCAGCTACTTCAGTATGGTGATACAGAAATCTGTCTGGTTTCTCTTTTTTCAGACTTCATTATCCTGTCAGTGTGGACCATGCTATGGTGATACAGCAATCTGTCTGGTTTCTCTTCTTCAGACTTCATTATCCTGTCAGTGTGGACCATGCTGGCCCTCAGCGGAGTGACTGTGCAGCTTCGCCGAGAGAGAAGTGAAGTGCCCTTCCCACCCCACCCCTACGTCACCTGGAAGCAAGAAAGGGAGCGCAGAAGCACCAACGTCTTAGACCCGAGCCATCACATACCTCCCCTGAGAGAGAGGATCCATAACAAGATACTACACATCAAAGAGTTTTTTCAGAAGGAGCAGCCGGCTGGGGAAAGAACTCCGTTGCTTCTCTAACCCCCCAAATCACTGGTGGGAAGAGAGAGGAAGAATCTGGGCATGGTGAGCTGAGTGATCACCAGCAAACCAGCCAGTGGTGCAGGATTTACCACTGCCACTTTGTCCTGCTTAATAAGGGGAGAACATATTTGCCCAATCTGCAAGAGAAGTTATCTCTACGGTACACTACAAGCTGTTTTGTGACTCTTTCCCTCAATGGCCCACTCAGCCCACTGTAATATGCATATGTCTAAGCTGCAGAATCTTCTACTAATGGTCAACTACAAGTATTTGTCTTGTGGGGGGTCTAGTTTGATGTTTAGGTATGTGAAATATAAACTGGCGCTTAGAAAACAACCTGTACAGTGCTGGTTCTGTCCTGGCAGGGTGAAAAATACTGCTGAAATATTGCCTGAGCTGCTCCTGAAGGTGAGCAGTCTGTCAGGTGGCGAGGGGAGAGAGATAAGGACCATGCACAGGAGTTCTTCTTGAAGGAACTGAAGTGTCACCTTCTAATAAAAGTACAAAACGTGTGGCCGCAGACACACCTGCTTCCAAGAAGTATTTACTGAACCTTGCAAGCAAAACCAAGTGACTTGAATTTCAACTGCACTGAACTAACTGTTGTAAGTGTGCCTGCTGGGGCTCAGGAGTGGACCTGATCTGAGACAAGACTTTCTCCCTCACCTTCAGATCATTCTGTAGCAAACTCATCACCTGGTCTCTGTGCAGAGATGACTGCTAAGAGAACACAACAGGTTTGCCTCCTTGTTTGCTTTCTCAACAGCCTGTGTCTTGTTTCTGCTCTGGCATAATCTCTTTTTTTGATGGTGCTGTCATAAAAAAAAACACCCCTAAATTAGCTCTTTGTAGCCAGCAGCCATTTCTTTCCTGGAATTGATTGAAACACTAACTATTTTTATTTTTAGTCAATATATCTTTTCATTTTGCCTTTAAGGGGAGAAAACAGCATCTAGTTGGCAAAATATTGATCAGCATCCTTGCTGACTGAATGTGTTCCTTACATCTCCTTCCTTCCTTGCATCTGCCCAAAGCAGAATGCAGCAAAGCAGATAAGGGACCACTCTCTGTTTGGTGGACTGGGGTCTCCTGTGGGGGCTTTATTCAGCTCCTGGAAAAAAATAAAAAAACCCAAAACAAACAGCCATTTTCAAAATGCAAACTGGAGAAGTTTGGGTTTGGCTCCCATAAATAACTGAACAAGCAGTCCTGAGGCTGTCAGGGGTTTTACCTGCCCCCTCTCCCCAACCCAGTCCTGGTCTTCACGTTGAGTGCTGACGTGGTTGTCTGTCACACATGAAATGGTGGTTGAAGGGTTGAAGTCTTGCAGCCTTGTGTCTTGAGACAGGTTATGGTGGCTCTTCTTGCTCTCTTGGTACCCTTAGTGTGGGCAGCAGAGTGCATGGTCCCTCCTGTCTGGAGGTGAATGGCTGTTCTGCTGCTGGAATGGAACCACCATGAATATGTGAATGTTCTAGTGGGGGAAATTCAAGTTCTTGGCAGTCACTTTAAATTCTGGATAGTAACTGTCTAAAAAACAAGTCTTTGTAAGGAAACTGGCTAAAAGACTCTGAGAACTTAATTGAAACACCCTGGCAGTAGAAAGAAAGTAATGACTTTAAATTTACTCTAGTTACCGGCCACTTCTCTTTAAGGAGTGAAAGCTTCGTGTCAGTATCTGAGGTGACTGAGCTGATGGGATGTTTAGAGAGCCAAATCCCATGATTGCTTGGAGCTGGAACATCTGCCTCAACCAGCAGGACAAGGCTGAAATCCTGCAATCTGGGTCCTGCTTCACTGTGCTGTTTTGTGGCACGTGGCGAGGGGGAACCGAGAAGCCCTTTCTCTGAGTGCTCAGGGGCTGCCCTTACTGCACTGATACCCAGCAGGTAGAAAGAAAGTAATGACTTTAAATTTACTCTAGTTACCGGCCACTTCTCTTTAAGGAGTGAAAGCTTCGTGTCAGTATCTGAGGTGACTGAGCTGATGGGATGTTTAGAGAGCCAAATCCCATGATTGCTTGGAGCTGGAACATCTGCCTCAACCAGCAGGACAAGGCTGAAATCCTGCAGTCTGGGTCCTGCTTCACTGTGCTGTTTTGTGGCACGTGGCGAGGGGGAACCGAGAAGCCCTTTCTCTGAGTGCTCAGGGGCTGCCCTTACTGCACTGATACCCAGCAGATACTTCTTTGGTATAGAAATGCTCTTAAACATGTTTACCTTGGTTGTTGTTTTTTTTTTTTTTTATAACTGCTGTGATTAACATTGTGGAAGAAACAAGTTTAACTCTAATTTTATAACTGCTGTGATTAACCTTGTGGAAGAAACAAGTTTAACTCTAATTTTCTATGTCTTTTATAATAAAGGTGTCTTTTGAAAGAACATCGGAACTAAAGGGGTCTCTTTGAGTTCAATGATGCTTTTACAACTTAGCTTCTGCCTTCGGTGTTGTAAGAACAGTTTGTTTTGGAAAAATTTCTTAGATCCTCAGGGGGTGAGGGTGGGTGGGGAAGCTTAGGTGACCTGTGGTAAGCACTTACTGCAGTAACAGGGACACCCAGAGGCTGAGAGCATGGTTATGTTCTGTATGAAACCAGGGGGGAAGTACATGGTCCAAAGAGGCTTTTTATAGCTGCTTTGGACAAGGTTCTAGATAAGGAATGGATGGTTGAACTGGGCTTGGAACTCTTTTTTTTTTCCTATTTTTTTTTTTTTTTGAGATCCTGACTTGGAGACTTCTGTCTTTTTTTTTTAATAATGCTGAGAGACAGTATGGGAATTTCTTCCATATTCCCTAAGCCACAGTGGGTAATAGTGCTGGTAATCAGAATGCACTAACTGAGCCCCTAGGCTGCTGAAAGGTCATTTTCCACTCTTTTTTTTTGTGTACCACCTGAGGCAGTTGCAAAATGCAAACTGGATCCTACCCTGCTCTGTTTCTCTTCTGACTGCTGAATTTCTCTTTGGAAGCCCTTATTGCCTTGCTGCATTACCTGCACTACCTTGTAGTTTTGCTGGCTAAAAATAACGCTGGGTGATGCTCCTGGGGAATGGAAATCTGAACTTTGTTCTCCTAGACAGTGATTTTCCTGCAAAATCAACTGTTTGGAAGCCACAGAGTCACAGAATCGTAGTAGTTGGAAGGGACCTCAGAGATCATCGAGTCCAACCACCAAAAAAAAAAAATTAAAAAAAAAATCCACAAAAAACACAAACCACCACCCATCACCTAAACACACAACAACAACCACCAAACCAAAAACCATCACCCACCCACACAGCACCCCACCACAAACCAGTAATCTTGGGCACTAGAGCATGCCCTGAAGAACCATGTCTACACGTTTCTTAAATACCTCCAGGGATGGTGACTCCACCACCTCCCTGGGCAGCCCATTCCAATGCCTGATAACCCTTTCAGTAAAGAAATGTTTCCTAATATCCAACCTGAACTTCCCCTGGCGTAACTTGAAGCCATTGCCCCTTGTCCTGACATCTGTAACTTGGGAGAAGAGACCGACCCCCGTCTCTCTACACCCTCCTTTCAGGGAGTTGGAGAGAGCAATAAGGTCTCCCCTCAGCCTCCTCTTCTCCAGGCTGAACACCCCCAGCTCCCTCAGCCTCTCCTCGTAAGACTTGTAAGACCTCGTAAGCCTCATGTAAACTGAAGCTTTCTGGCCTGTGATGATGATCTACTTCCTGCTGCTGTAGAGAATTGTCCTACTTTGGCTCCAGCGCGCTGCTTTTGTTGAGTTTTTCTCAGAGCAGTTGTTGCTGCGTTGAGATAACGCTGCAATGATCACATCGTGGTATTTGTCTTAAACCCTTGTAGATATTTCCTGTGCCTGCGTGTGTTGCAGTCATGCCTCAAGGCCACAGGAGAAACTTTCTTCCTCCTCCCTCACTTTCCCACCCGTGCTGACTTCTCCTGGCGGTTAAACAAGCTGTGACACAAGTGGACTCGAGAACATGGATGTTTTCAAAGAATCAGACCAAACTCTCCCCTCCCAAAGCTTTGCATTTTGATTTGGGAGCAGGTTATGGGAAGATAAAGGGACCCACAAACTACATGTTCACAGAATCAATGGGGTTGGAAGGGACCTCTGGAGATCATCTCCTCCAACCCCCTGCCAGAGCAGGTCCACCCAGAGCAGGTTGCACAGGAACGTGTCCAGGTGGGTTTGAATGTCTCCAGAGAAGGAGACTCCACCACCTCCCTGGGCAGCCTTTGCCAGGGCTCTGCCACCCTCACAGGAAAGAAGTTCCTCCCCATGTTGAGGTGGGACTTGTTCTATTCCAGTTTGTGCCCATTTCCTCTTGTCCTGTCCCTGGGCACCACTGAAAAAAGACTGGCCCCATCCTCCTGACACCCACCCTTTAAGTATTTATAGGCATTGGTCAGATCCCCCCTCAGCCTTCTCTTCTCCAGACTCAAAAGCCCCAAGTCCCTCAGCCTCTCCTCGTAAGGGACATGCTCCAGGCCCCTCATCATCTTTGTAGCCTCTGCTGTCCCCTCTCCAGCAGTTCCCTGTCCTTCTGGAACTGGGGAGACCAGAACTGGTCCCAGTGCTCCAGCTGGGGCCTCCCCAGGGCAGAGCAGAGGGGCAGGATGACCTCCCTCCACCTGCTGGTCACAGGTTTCCTGATGCCCCCCAGGATGCCATTGGCCTTCTTGGCCACCAGGGCCCATTGCTGGCTCATGGTCATCCTCTTGTCCACCAGAACTCCCAGGTCTTTCTCCTCAGAGCTGCTCTCCAGCAGGTCACCCCCAACCTGTCCTGGTGCAGGGGGTTATTTCTCCCCAGATGTAGCACCCTGCACTTGTTTTTGTTCATCAGGTTCCTCTCTGCCCCATTTTCATCAGGTTTCTTTCCACCCTCTACTTTTCTTTGTAATAGCAAAATAAGTGAGTGAGGCATAAAGGCATATTTCTTTGGTCCCCTCTATGTGTCTTTTACTCCTACCTGGAATGTGCAAAAATGGCCTTTCCCAAAGCTGTCCTTTTGAAAGTTTTCCCTGGCACTTCTCACCCCAGTGAGGTTCTCCAGCTCTCCTTCTGTCCTTGCCTAGAGCTGTCCCTTATCTGCAAACACTTCTGAAGGACGGGAAGCCCTTCCTGAGAAATAAATATGCCCCATTTTAAAATGTGTATTTTTCACTTCGCCTTTGAACTTTTCCTGTCTCCTCCTAAAAGTGGCAGCAGCGTGTTGTGGGTTTGCATGTCGTGGGATCTTTGCCGTGGTACTTTTGGGGGACTTCATTATAACTTTGGTTTCTGGTGGGTTTATCTAGTGAATGGTCAGAGTAGGAAGCACTGAGCTTTCGGTAAGTAAACATCCTACAAAATGTAAGTATTATGAGCATTTGGTCAACTCAATGGCTGAGATCCCTGTTTATTTGAATCTTGCCAATACTCATCTGATCAGGTTGTCCCCTCCCACATCTCTGATCAGGAGGCTTTGGGGTTTCAGTTTGCTTTAGAAACAATGGCTCCAATAACATTTTTTTGCTTGTTCAAGCAGATGCTTGTTCTTTATAACTTTTTGTAATCACTATCAGGCCTTGTCTGCTCGCGTGTAGCTGTAGGCAGAGCGCTGTCTCCTGTTGGAGTATGCAAGGCTTTATGCTTCCATGCATGCTAGGGGAAGACAACTTCAAAACAGAGCAATAAATTAGCTAGCTCATTTTTGGGAGTGGGAGGAAAAAAAACCAGGTGTGTCCAACTTACCTATCTGCTTCCGAGCCGGGTGTTCACAAGTCTGCCTTGGCCAAAAAAGCCCCCACTGCAAGTTTCCTGCACGATCCTTTGTGCTGTCGGGTGTCACAGCGGGTTATCTCCTGTGCTCAGAACCAGCTGCACTCGTTTTCTTTTTATCATGAATGTTCTGGAGGAAGAAAAAGCCGTACACGGGAAGCAAACCAGCACAGAGAGAGTAGATCGTAGGAGGCAGCTGCTCTTGCCCAGCCAGTAATTTAATGAGTTGCATAAGATGATTCATTTAAAAAAACTGTTTACTGTGTTACTGAGTGTTGGAAAACCGAAGACGCTGATGGCCGTGCATCCGTTAGCGTGTTGCGTTCAAGCTTCCAACAAGTGACTTTTCAAAAAAATATATTTAAAGCTTTTTCACTACTGAAACAGCCATCCTCAAACATCTTTCTTAAGGCATTATTGTTGGTGAGAACACTGTAGGGAAATTATTCGTTCTGCCATTCTCTAAAAGAGGTAAAACTGCACCTCGGGGCAATGGGAAGGGACTGAGGTTGGAGTTCTGCTCATCTCCCTTGGGCCACCTTGTGTCTGAGGAGCATTGTCAGCATGTACTTTTTCAAGGCTGGAATTATGAAACATTTTTTTCTCCACGTTGAGCAGTTGCTTAAGGTTTTCCTCTTCTACACGTCAGGTGAGTTTATTCTGAACTTGGGGAAATAAGGATGGGCTGTGACACAAAGGCATGGCCACGCTGGCTCCCAACAGGTACCATCAGAGCATGCCTGGGGCAGGGAGGGGGTTGCAGGCAGCAGCAACACTGGTACCTCTTCTCATACGGTCACTGAAATAGAACATTTTTATTTTGCAGCACTCATTAATACGTGGAAGCTCAACAATTTTGTTTCTATAGTCCACTCTGCTGTCATCAGCATGAAACTCAACTGCAAAGGAGAGAGATGGGCAGAAGGTGAGGCTGAACGTGAGCTACACCTCCTCCAGGTGTGTGCATGATACCAACCAGCCTTCTTCAACTGCAAATGACACACCTCCACCAGGTGTGTGCATGATACCAACCAGCCTTCTGCTCTGCATCCTTCTCCCAGCACGCCTCGGTGGCCAGGAAGGGTAAATAAGTACAAAGTCCTTTGTTGACATGACACAGAATTGACTTTTCTGCTCTCTAAACAATAACAGGCACGTGTGTGTTGGTGCAGACCTTTATAGGACAAGAAGAAGATGGTTTTGTTTGCACACCAAGTGTAACCCAACTCTCTAAGAAGAGAGCTGCTGGGCACCTACAGCTCAGTGGTGTTCCCACTGCATCTTGTTGCTTTTTCTCATTTTTTTTGGTCTTCTGGAGCAGTATGGAGCTTGATGCTGCTTCCAGAACTGAAAAGGCTGGTAAAGTTGTTGCTAATATGAAAAAAAAACCTTATTCCTCTACCTTGTTCCTTCTCTTCCAACTTTTTGCTCCAACTCTTTTGCTCTCCTGTCTCATCTTCCCACTGTCACTGTACACACCAGTCACACTCTGCTCAGCACAAGCCACTCTGACACTCTGTCCTCTCAGACCTCAG